ATGAGCTACGAAGTTTCAGATTCAGAGGTGTCCCACCGCGGCTTCTGTGTTCGTTCCAGTCATCCATCTGTTCAGCAGTACACGCGATCTGTGCGCGGTAATACTGGTACCTGTGCACATCAGCAGCTCAACATTCGATGCTGCATCACATGCTTTAATCGGACAGAATGCCCCATTTTTCCGTCTATTTATGAATGAAATGAAGAAATCTAGTCTTATCTGATGCAAAGGAGTGCAAAATCCTGCTTACTTGCAACGCGGGTTCTCCTCGCCCAGCTCCCGCGCACACCTGCGCGACAGCACAGCCACACCAACGCCAGACCTTTTCTAGTTAAAGTTTCTTTGCTACATCACGTGCACTGCAACATGTTTTCGTCCGAGTTGAAAACTGTTGCGCTCTTAGTGCTCCACAGCGGTAAAAGGCAAAGAGCCAACGGCCTCCTGAAATGAGCACAATATGGTGCAGAAAAGCAGCAAAGAAGTCGAGGAAACAGAAAGAAACTGGCACCTTAAAAACCAGTTCAGCTATTGACTCGTGCTGTCTTACCGGCAGAACATGGTGTAGCGAAGGGCGCACGCGCTCCCCTGGTTAGCCTGGAGCAGGCGAGGGTCCTGCGCAGTAACAGCAAACTGATCTATCCCGAACATGAACGGAAAACTATAAGGCACGACTAGTTGGCTTACTTGAACACCCTGATAAGCATGATCTGTTCCAAAACCCTTTCATGGCTGTCTATTGCCATCAGTGGGCATTGGGCACTGCTGCGGAACCAGCAGTCAGCAGTGGCCAGCAGTGCCTGCTGGCGCCACTTTGAACTCGAGCAGGGAACACCACAGCGGCAGCCCCCCTGTGGAGAAGTTCAACTAGAGCTGGTAAATGGAAACGATTGGAGACGGGTTAGGCTCAATAAGTTGTTCTGCGGACCTCTGCATGCGGATTCTGCGCGGTGAGCTCCTCTATGTTCCTTTGGTACATCTGAACCATCTCTTGCTTCGTCATTTTCAGTACGCAGTGAGGATGCCTTGGCCCTGTTGTGATCTGGAAATGCTAATTTTACATCTATTGTTCTGTAATTCCCTTTAGGCTGTTGCCGGTCTTTTCCGTAGTGCCACGGGGCTGCAGCAGCAGCCACGCCATTCCTTACAAGTAGGGCGTAGCATGCCTGTTCAGGGAGCAGTAGGGGTGTACAAAATATATTTGAATTAGAAAAACAAAAATACAGAATTTAGGTAGTTCAATGCGCCTGTACGGACACTTTTTCCGCAGCCGCTCCGGATTCACGGGCTTCATAGACTCTTGCGCAATTGCTGCAGAGCTTCCTGTTGAGTTCCACACTAGTCAAGCAAACGAAGGCAGAAGCTTTTCAGTCAGCTTTTAGTCTGTGCTAACCAGACAATGTCAAAGTCGAGCGTTGCAAATGCGTAGATATGTTGCGGGGGTTCACACTGCGCAGTGGAACCAGTGTCAGGATTACAGGGCTTTCATATGAACAGTTCTCAGATGTCCTTGTACGCTCATTAGGTTGTGTGCCAGAGCGAGTTGCAGAAAAATGTCGAACCACCCCAATACAAATTCTCGAGGGCTCGCTCTGCTGCGCGCTCTTCGTTCACTCCACGCTTCCCGCAAATTGGCCACTGTTTATCAAAATCAACATCTAATTCCTTCTATTTCGCCTTTTTATTTCATTTTATTCAAATAAATCCAAAAGAATCTAGAAAAGTGAACAAACGTGGAACGGGCAAATGAACCTGAAAATGAGCAGAATCGGCAATTTGCACTAGACAGCTTGCTCTATTCCTGGTTGAAATTACGATGTCGCTTGCTTCAAGAGTACTGCACTGAAATTCGCCTATATTATCACTCTGCCAATCGTACAAGAGGGAAAAGAACACAAGAGTTCTGGGGGAGGAAAGACAACACTGCGAAAGAGCCAGAAGGACATTTGTTCGGAGCCCTAGCACTGCATCGCACTTGATCATTCTCTTCATTCACACTGCTTTAGAGCCATACCTGCCATGGCCATCGAATAATTCAGTAGTTGCTCACTTCGCATGCATTGGGGAGTGTAAGGGTAGGAGGTGAACATGCCACCAGGTCTTCAATGGAAAGGTAAACAGAAATTCCAGAGTGTGAAACAAACTTGCATAAGAGCATTGCTATTTATGTTTGTCCCAAGATGCATCAAAGTTTGATGGCCTGAGTTTTCTCTACAGTCAGTCATGTCTTTGAGGAGAGAATACCTGGTTCTGCGTGCCAGTGGTGGCATTCCCTCCTATACTGTTTTTCCGCTGAGTGAACATTTGAGAGCGAGAATATACTATTTAATGCTTTCGTTTAAATTGAGCTTCTTGCGCCAAGTAGACCGGTTGGTGTGAAACTCTTGGGAAGGCTCTTCAGGTCAGTACCACCTACGCAAACATAACTCGAACTTTCTAACTCTCTTCAAATGATACACCTCTTTGCCTTCATAAACCCAGGTATATCCTTTATTTGCAGCTATTTGAGAGCAGGTTCTCTAGGCTGGGCGGGAGGCTGAGCAAGGTTGTAGCGTTAGGATTGTTAGGAGGCTTTCGAAGCAACTGTGGAAACAATCGAGATACAAACGAATGAGGCTATTTGTCAGTTTCGTTCACACGAATTCCGCTTTGTGGGTCTTGCCAGTGAACTTTATCTGCGTCGGGCTGTGGGGGTTTGTGCATTTCAGTTGACACCCACTGGGAGTCTCAGCTCCCTTTGCAACATTTTTCCCCAGGCAAAAAAGTCATTTACCAGCATTTGCGGCAAGAATGAAGTACATTTCCTGCTGTTTTTTTTATCAACTAGCAGAATGGAACGCAAAAGAGTGATCGGCAGTTTGTGGTGGGAATAATGCAGCGTGAAACCTCATGCAGAGAGCTTGCGCTAGCAATTGGTGTGGTCAATAAGTCGAATACGTACAACTTAATCATGCAAATGTTTACAAATCAGTAGAGGCCCTTAATTAGCTTACGCATTTAACTGCAAATCTGCGTAACCAGACTTCGTGTAGTGCCATATTGAAACTTTTCCCGAAGTTCCCATGGTTTACACTTGTATGCATGCATGCCACTTTTTGTAATAATTCTCATTTTATATAACCAACAAAAGGAAATCCTTCCGTTTTGAGAGTTCTTTAACCATGAGTGCTCGTCTGCACAGCAATCTATAAAGCTAATAGTATGCGCTATTTGCCATTATTTTATCGTAATTTACGGTGCCAGGACTATGCCTAAATTAGGAAGAAGCTGAGTCTGGAAATGCAATGATGATGAGATCAAAAAGCTTGCCAATGAGCAATAAGCGTTGTGCCGCAAGTTGAATTAAACACAGAGAAGATCCGATGTTACAGAACACTGAGTGCCACTTGTTTGTTTGAAAGCATCAACAGGGCTGAAGCCATTGCCTAAGCACTGGGATCTTTGCACTAAACACATTTTATTTTATATATTATGTGACTTTTGCGTATTATTCTTTGACTTCAGTACTGAACTTGGTTCAACTTGCTGCCAGCCTGCACTCTAGGCTTCTGTGGCCAGCGCCCCCACGTAAGCCTCTGCTGCCAGGAGTACTTGTTGAATGCAAAGACAATGTCTTAAGCAAGAGCGTTTCAATTTTCTTTCAGCTTTTCATATTAGACTTGGCATTCAGTGGACCCTTGTAGCTTCCTGGCCCAGGCTCATGGTAGCGCTGCGATTGTAAACACCCTTTTCGTTTCCCATTAAGTTACTCCAGCATAATAAGCATATACAAAGAAGAAAAGCAACATTATAAATTGCCGAACTTCTCTTCTTCAAGGCATTGTACTCTTCAACTGCTGGTGGAGTCACTTCAAATGCACTTCCAACCTGGGGGAGAAAAGCTGAAAACTGCGGGGCTTGGCTGGGTTTCTGTTCTCCTAGAATTTCCATGACTCCAGGAAAAGTGCAAAAGACGCAGAGAAGCCAATGCCGTAGGACACGCAGAGCTAAATTGCCCAGCGGTGATCAGTGCTGGCCGTGACGCTCACAGGTTCTTTCCAATTCAACTTGGCATTTGATTCATGAATAAGAGCGAAAAATGTGGCTTTTCAAGCAGGTTTATGCAAAAAGGAAAGCTTAACTGCAAAGATGCAGTATGATTGTTTCACTGTGCAACGCAAAAGAAACCTAAAGCTCCGAAAGCTCTTGGCAAAACTTCTACAGAGCTCTTAGGGCTCAGGCATTGAAATGCGAGTGGAATCTTCTAGATTTAACTTAATATTCTTTCCCCTAGCTTGTCTGGCGAGACTTCAACCTTATGATCTGGCTTTATATTGCGTTTACGCGGAATTTCATTGAAAGTTCGCTGCAAATGCTGAGTCTTTGCTACTTCGAAGTTGTACGTATCCCACAGCGTATTCGCTGATTAGAGATCTGCAGTGACATTTCAACTGTTCTCAGAAACACAACATTGCGCAGGTTTTGCTCTTTGCAGAAGTCCCGTGGGCCACTCCCGCGCGCCACTGGTTAGTGTGTGAACTGTAGTGAGGGGCACGCGGCGGGAGAAATTGCAATAAGTGGTGGATTTTCTTTCTCTTCTCTTCAAACTGAATTAAGAAATTCGCTATGTAATAATTTTTACTTTTGCAGGAGTAATGGGAGGATTTAAACGAGCAGCGCTACGCAGCACAGGCCACTGGTGTTCAGACTCCGCAGCACCGGCAAACTGGGCTTTCCGCGAAAATGTAAGTGAAAATGCATCTCTCGTGCCTCCCTTAGTTGTCCTTATTACTTAATTTGCGTCTCTTTGTTGGGTTATTCTCTAATTTTCCAACGAAGAACCACTGCCATTTGGCTAGTCACTTGCTCGGCGTCGGTGGGAAGACAGGCGTGCGGGCTATCGCAGTTGCGTTGGACTTGAGCTTCCGGCGCGTTATTATGTTTATAATAATTTTATTTGAGTTATTGAATTGCAAAAAAATAAAAGAGTGAGGAAACACTGCGGAGTTCAGCCCGAATCCCACATGGGCAGTCGTGGCGTGCTGCGGGGCTCTCTGCTTTCTCTCGATACTGGTAAGCCTTGTCCTTCGCCTGCATTATTCTCTGAAATTTCTCATCAGATTTAAAAACTATGAGCCATTTTGCATTAATTGCGAACTTTGAATTCGGATTCCGCGGATTCCCCAGGTGAGCCCCTGCGGGAATTGCACAGGCCTTGCTGCTGCACGCCGCACAGCAGACCCGCCTTGCGTCTTCGTATTCTATGTTTCGCAGCACTTTATTTCCAATTCTGGATTTATTTTGCAATTTGAAAGTCAAATAAATCAGCCCCGCACTTCTAGTAGGAGCTGCAGCGCAGCAGTGGCTCCTCAGCTGCGGCGCGTTGGTCTGTTGAGCTGTGGGTCAACAGTTGCGGAATTTGCCATTTCCTGGCTTTTGGAGTTTCGTTTTTCCTTTTAAATCCTCTTCTTTGCTTCTTTTTCTTGTGTGCAGGCCTCGTACAGATTCGCTTCGCTGCAGCCAAACTGTTGAATCTCACAAGTGCTGAAATGGGGGCTGTGTGTGGCAAGCAAAGGGCAGCCTCAGAGCCCAAGGCGAGAAGGGCAACTGTGGAAGTTTCTGGCTCTTCCCCGGCTGCCGGGGCCCCACAGCAGCCTCCAGCTGCGGCCCCAGCTGCTGGCACAGATGCAGGGGGTGCTGCTGCAGCAGCTCCTGCCGAGCCTGCTGCTGCTGCTGCTGCTGCTGCAGACAAGGCCAAGGAGTTCATAACCGGCGAGGGCGATGGCGTGTACCTGATGCTTCTGAATGAGAACAACAGTCAAGCACTTGTGCAGCAATACGCGCACGAAAAACCCACTGTGCAGGAGGGCGAACTTCTTTTGTTGCAAATTAAACCTCCCATTTACGTCGAAATCAAAGAGTCCCGCTTCACTTTGCAAAATGGAAAGCGCACGCTGAAGGTCGGAATCCAGGTGAGAAACTGCGCAAATATATGCACAAATATTCATAATATTTTGAAAAATAGATATATATTTTGTGGATTTCTTCGAATAAGTTATTAGATCCTGGGTTTCCTTCAAGAATTTCAACTTGAATGTGTCACAGCGTTGCGTGGGTCTGTGTGGAGCCCGCTGTTTCTGGCATTTCGCCATGCCAGTTGTTGAAAAGCACTTTGAAAACGGAAAATATTTTGAAAAGAATTGGAATTCGAAATGTCAGTGAAGATTTATTTTTTCTTTTTGCAGATGGCGATGAAGAACGCCGACGGACAGAAGAAAGTCTGCGAAGCGGTGCTGGAGTGTCTGCGGCTCACGTGTTCGTACTCCGCCTACATCCACGCTTTCCCGGACTTGATCCGGGCTCCATTTTCAATTTTGTTGCTCGTTTTGGAGCGCCATGAGCCCGTAAGAAAACCCTGGAAACTCCGTTTTCAACTGCATGCAGACTTGGCGAATTTGCATGCAAATTCGTGCAAATTTGCATGCAGATTCGTGAAGCAGACGCTCCGACAGAGCTGGTGGCTGCAGGTCTCTGCAGGCAATTGTGCAGCGTCGGCAGCACTTTTTTATTTAATTTAGGCAGTTTGATCATCTTTAATACAATTAAATTAATTAATTTACAAGCTCGCGTTGCAGATCAGATTCCGTTGCTGACTGTTCAAGTTGCTGCTGGCTGCTTTCTGGCGCAGGCAAGCATCAAGGAAGGGCCTGACGGGGGAAAAATAGTTTCGATTTCGGCTGAAGAAGCTTCACAAACAAATGCAGGCACAGAGCCTACTGCGGAGGAGGCCCAGAAGGGGGAGGGCCAGGCTGCAGAAGCAGCAGCAGCAGCAGGAAAGCCGGAGGGTTCTGGCGACGCAGCACCAGCAGCAGCGCCCGCAGCAGCAGCAGCGGCAGCGAACGACAGCAACAACCAAAGCATTTTCCCCGAGGGGCCCCAGGAAGTGCCCGAGCCCGCTGCAGCCCCCAAGGCCACTGAACAAGTTCAAGTCTTGAGGCATCTTGCAGAAGGCCGCTCCGCCAACTTCTCTTCAATGCGCCAAATCATAATTCTTCCTTTGGAAAACTCCAAAGCCAAAGAAGTCCTCAAAGAAGGATCTGTAGTCGAAGAGGAGCAAATTGAGCAGCTGCAGAAGCAAGTTGAAAAGCTGCGTAAGTTCCCTTTCTGTTTAATTCTGCAAGACTGAATTGAATTTAATTCCGCCTTTTGCTGCAGCAGCAAGTTGCAGCGAAGCTTCTGCAGTTTGCTGCTGCAGCAAACTGCAGAAATAATTGAAAGAATACAGAAATGATTAAAGTGATTGAAAGAAAAAAGGCGCGAAGTTTCGTTTTCGCGACTTTTCGCGTGCTGCGGTGTACAGACGGCGTGATGATCAAAGCCACCCCCGAGAAGCCAGTGTGAAGCAGCAAGACAAAAAAGAAATTTAGAGGGCTTTTCGTGGACTGGCAGCAGCTAGCAGCAGCTAGCAGCAGCAAGCAGCAGCAAACAGCAGCAAGCAGTAGCAAGCAGCAGCAAGCAGCAGCAGGCAGCAGCAAGCAGCAGCAGGCAGCAGCAAGCAGCAGCTAGCAGCAGCAAGCAGCAGCTAGCAGCACTCCCCGCGGAGTCCGGCGGCGGCGGTCCCCAACGGATTCTCTTTTAGCTAGCTAGCTATCTAGCCAGCTAGCTAGCTGGCTAGCTTCCTATCGAGCGAGCTAGCTTCCTAGCAAGCTAGGTAGCTACCTAGCAAGCTAGCCAGCTTGCTAGCTAGCTAGCCAGCTTGCTAGCTAGCTAGCTAGCTTACTAGCTAGCTAGCTAGCTACCTAGCGACGGCGCGTCCAGGGGCCTTGGGGGCTCTTGGGACGCGTTTGTGTCGGCAGCGTCAGAAGATCAAATTGAAAATAAAAGTAAAATGCGAAATAGCGAAGAAAGAAAATGCAATTTAAAACAAATGCTCCTCCTTTAAAACAGAAAGCCTCAAAAGCAGGCTCAGCTCCAACAGTCTTTATCTGCGCACGCAGCAGCTTCCACTGCTGCTTCTTTGGTTGCTAAAATGCAGATTGCGCTGAGGCCTCGGGGCCCCCCTTTTGGGGCCCCTCAGGGGCCCTTTAGAGGGCCCCAGATGCCCAGAGGGCTGACGGGGGCCCCCGGTGCCGCTAAGGGGCCCTTTGGAAATTGTGTGGGGGCCTCATCTGGCTCAGCGCTTTTCACTGAAGTGCGGGGGCTGAGGGTGGGGTTGTTGTACTTGTGGGAGTTGGCTGCAGCTGCCTAATTTGAAACGAAGGCTGCTAGCGAGCCTAAATCGACTCTTGACTTGTTCGACTTTTCGCGGTGCTGCAGCGGTTCTGCGCTGCGTGCGGATGTGCATGCGTCGGGTGTACTTTGCTGAGGTGTCTGTACACCTGGGAGCCTGCAGCGCGAGTGGCGGCCCTTGGGCGGCGCGCCGGGCTAGTAGATGGGGTGTGGTGACACTTTTGAGAAAAAGGAAAACTGAAGAACTGCACACAGCCATCAGTTGCCCCTTGAACTAACTGCATGCGCTGGAGTGTACGTACAGCTGACTGCTGGCCAGGCTCACTATTGCGTCGTCTGCGCGCCGGCGGGGGAAGGCGGCGCGTGGCGCTGAATGCAGAGTCTTTCTGTTTTTAGGGTGTGTAATGGTTTAATTAATTAAATAATATTGATTTCATTTGAATTTTGAGCGGAACACTCGGCGGGCCAGAGGCACTCAGCCCCAGGGGCTGTCTAGACAGCCCGGTCTTCTGCTGGTGCGATCACTGCTAGGACCGACGCAGCGCCTGTCGCCCGTGGGGCGGCGTTGTTGCGCTGCTGCTTCAAAAATCTTTTCCTTCTTGAGGATTTATCTTTTATTCTTCATCAAAGAATGCACACAAGTGGCGGCGGCCCTCTTGTCGCGTCACCTGCCTCCTGTCCGGCGGCGAGCCTGGTCTGAGCAGCAGCTGTACATACACCGCAACACACTTCGAGCGAAAACCCAAAATGAGACGCCCCAAAATTGCTCTCGTTGGTGGCGGCCAAATAGGCGCCATTTTAGCGTTTTTATCGTCGCTGAAGGAGTTGGGAGACGTCAGCATTTTCGACATTGTCGAGGGTAAGCCAGCAGGAAGCTGCAGCGGGTAGCTGCAGCGGCGCTGCGCTCGCGGCCTTGAAATGCTGCGTTAAATGCTGTCTAATTCATTTTTAAGCATTTAATTCCTTTAGTTTTTCGTTTTGAAGAATATTTCGGACAAAGGCGACTCAGGGAGGCCGCGGAAACCCGCAGAGGCCCCATATGCAGAAGTTGAAAATTGAATCTGCGTCACACAGGCGACGGAAAGCGGCCTCCTAAAGTCCAATAAGAGGGTTTGCAATGAAAACTCTTGCATTCACTTCTTGCAGCCCCTACTGATCATTGAAAAATGCCATTTCTGAAAAAGAAATGGCGCGAAATTCCAGTTCATGAGTGCCGCTGCAGGCACGGCTGGTGGGGTGTACAGACACCCCGCGCACGCAGCCACGCCGGCTCCTCAGCCGCTGCCTCTTCGCCACTCTTATTTTTCTGCAGGTTTGCCTCAGGGGAAAGCTTTGGACCTTTCCCAAGTGGGGCCTGTGGAGGGAGTGGACACAAAAGTTTCGGGTTCAAATCACTTCTCCGCGCTGCAGGGCGCAGATGTTGTCATTGTGACTGCCGGCGTAAGTCTCGGGGATTTATTTTCTTCAAAATTAAGAAAATGAAAAATGAATTTCGCGGTTGCCTCGGATACACTTGGGGCACCCGCCCGGTGTATGTACACCACGGCAGCACCCCGAAAGCTGTACATGCAGAAATTCTTGAATTTGAATGGTGCGTGGGGAGCGGCAGGAGTTTTTTGAATTGATTTTCGGATTTATTTTTGAGTTTATTTCTGTGGTTGTTTTTGTTCCGGAATTTATTTTTAATTGAGAGCTGCTTTTTGTTGGTCTTCAGGTGCCGCGCAAACCCGGCATGTCGCGGGACGACTTGCTGGCCATAAACTCGAAAATAGTGGCCGATGTGGCGGAAGCAATTAAAATGTATTCTCCAGATGCTTTCGTGATTTGCATCACCAACCCTTTGGGTGCGTCGCTCACCAGGTGTTTGTACACCGCAGCTGGTCCCCAGGTGTCTGTACACTGCAGCTCCTCCCGCTGCCTGCTCCTAAAAGTGTCTTTCTTTGCGGAACCAGTGTTCAGGGTTTAGGCTTTAAGTTTCGGAGCTTAGAATTCAGGGTTTAGGGTTTAGGGGTTGGGATTAAGTGTTTAGGGTTTAGGGTCTAGGGTCTAGAATTGCGGGTTTAAGGTTCCGGTTTGGAATTGAGGGTTCCCTGTTTCTTGTACCTTGTTTCGCATTTCGTGTTTCGGATTCAAGCTTCAAAGCAGATGGTCCCTTGCTTCCCTCTCCCGGACCCCGTTTCGGGCCCCACCTCGGAACCGCGGCTTAGGGTTTAGGGTTTAGGGTTTGGGGTTTGGGGTGGCGTTGTTCCGCGCAGACGCAATGGTGCAGCTGATGCGGGAGCGCAGCGGGCTGCGGGCCGAAATGGTGGTGGGCATGGCCGGCGTTTTGGACTCTGCGAGATTTCGCCACTTTTTGGCGCAGCGCCTTCGCGTCTCCGTCGAAGACGTGCACGCGATGGTCATGGGCGGCCACGGCGACAACATGGTCCCGCTCACGCGATACTGCACCGGTGCCTGCTGCTGCTGCTGCTGCTGCTGCTGCTGCTGCTGGGGGGGTGCGGGTTAGGGTGGGGGTATGATGCTGCTGCTGCTGAGGGTAAGGGGGGAGTTATGGTGGGGGGGTTGTGGTGCTGGTGCGGTTATGTGGTGGTGGTGGTGGTGGTCGTGCTGCTGCTGCTGCTGCTGATGGTGATGGTGCTGCCGGCTGTGATGGTACTGCTGCTGATGGTGCTGCTGCTGCTGTTTTTGCTCCTGTTTCTCGGGCTGCTGCTGCGTTCGGCACTGCACTAGCGCTGCAGCAGTTCCCGCTGCTGCTGCTGCTGCTGCTGCTGCTACTGGGACGGTGTGAATTGCTGTGTGGAGCTGGGGTGTACGTACACCTGGCGCAGTTGGGGGGATTCCACTTCCAGACCTGGTGGCAATGGGGCAGTTGAGTGAAGAAGATGTTCAAGAAATTGTCCAAAGAACTCGAGACGGAGGCGGCGAAATCGTCAAGTACAAACCCTAAACGCTAAGCCCTAAACCCTGAACCCTACTTCCGAAACGCCAACATCTGGAGATGCTAATCACCCAAATGATATGGTAATAATAATAGTAATTATTATTGTTCTTTTAATACTAATAGTAACAGTAATAGTAATGGTAAGATAGTAATAAGGATAATAATAGAAATAATTGTAATATTAATAATAATATCACAATAATGAGATCATAATAATAATTGACGCCGGCTGGCTGTGCGCAGGTTTGTAAGGTTTAAGGTTTTCGACCTAGGGTCTAGGGTTTAAGGCTTGGCGTCAAGTGGGGTTTAGGGTTTAGGGTTTGTGGATTGGGGTTTGGGGTTTATCATTTGTTTGTTTATTAAACAACAAAACCCTGGAACAAAGTTACTTGAAGCAATAGAATTTAATTCCTTCTCAGAGCCTCTTGTGAATCGACCTAGAAAGGCGGAACAGAGCCAAAACCCTAAACCCTAAACCCTAAACCCTAGAAGGACGAAAACCTCGGGGTTCTGCTTTGTTTCTGCAGCCTAATGAAGACAAGTTCTGCTTTCTTTGCCCCTGCTGCTGCGGGAGTGTTAATGGCAGAAGCATATTTGAAAGACAAGAAGCGGGTGATTCCCTGCGCCGCTTACCTGGTGAGAACTCGGGGTGTACGTACACCTCAGCGCATGCGCGCATGCAGCTTTTTGCGTTTTCTGCACAGAACTAGTTTTCGAGGGCTTTGCGCGCAACTAAACAAATAAATAACCATTTAATTTGTTAGTTTAGTCTCAGTCAGTCCGTTTTCCCTGCTGCTGCTGCTGCTGCTGCTGCTGCCCCAGACCGGCCAGTATGGAGTCCAGGACCTCTACGTGGGAGTGCCCTGCGTCGTGGGACGCGGCGGAGTCGAAAAAGTCCTTGAGCTGCAGCTCACGGAGACAGAAAAAAAAATGTTTCAGAAATCCGTCGACGCCGTCCGCGCCCTCGTGCAGGCGCTGCCCCGCAACCCAAAGTAAACTCCCCACTCGCTGGCAGCTAGCTGCCTGGCTAGCTAGCTAGCTAGCTAGCTGGCTAGCTGGCTAGCTGGCTAGCTAGCTAGCTAGCTGGGTAGCCGGCTAGCTAGCTAGGTGGCTGGCTAGCTAGGTCGCCACCTAGCAAGCTGGCTTGCTGTCTGGCTGGCTAGCTGGCTAGCTGGCTAGCTGGCTAGCTGGCTAGTTGTCTATCAGGGGACCTAGCTAGCTAAGTGGCTCTGGGTGTCTAGCTAGCGGGCTGGCAGGGTGGCGGGCTAGCTAGCTGCATAGCTAGCCGGTCCGCCGCCTATTGGGCGAGCTAGGTTGCTAGCTAGCCAGATGTCTAGCTAGCTAGCTAGGTGGTAGCTAGTTGGCTAGGTAGCTAGCTAGCTAGCTGGGCGTTAGAGAGCCCCACGCAGCGCAGCTGCCTCGCTGGCCGGGCGCTGCAGCAGCTAACGACGACCTAGGCAGCTAATTATTCATTTCGAATAGAATAATTGAATTTAATAAGGGAGAAAGAATAATTGAACTTACTAATGAGTTCAAATTATAAAAGTGTTAGTGCAGCCAGCGCGAGGAGTCCGAGGCAGCGACGGCAAAGGCCGCCCCACTTCAGGTGTACGTACACCCCACTTTGCTGCTTGTTTTGATTCGGCGCTGCCGCACGGATGTGCATTTTGCTGAGGCCTTCGAGGCCTTTCTCTTTTTTGCTGCGGCTGGGTGTGCCGCAGCAGCAGCAGCAGCAGCAGCAGCAGCGAGGGCAACAGCAGCAGCAGCAATAGTTGCAGCAGCAGAGATAGAGGGGACTGGTGGGCTCTGTATAGATCAATACAGGCCTTCTGATGCAGCAGACACTATCGCTGGCCAGCTAGCTAGCTAGCTAGCTAGCTAGCTAGCTAGCTGGCTAACCAGCAGCTCGTGGTGCGCTAGTGGGCATTGTGGGCAGCACAGCTTATGGGCGGAGGCGAACAAATTTAGGTTTAAATATATTTTTTCCAGTCTTATAAGCAGTTGGAAAATAGAAAATTAAATATATATTTAAGGTAAGTAGTTTTTTCTTCGGTGCCAGGCTGTGAGTCTCCGTGTTGACCGCGCTCCCTACAGCAGCAGGAGCAGCAGCAGCAGCAGCAGCCGCAGCAGCAGCCGCAGCAGCATTGGCAGCAGCGGCAGCACAGCGACAGTCTCCATCTGAAGGTTTGTGATGGAATATAGGGAGGCGGAGTTTGTAAATGTGTACAAGTTTATTCACATTCAAATGTATAAAGGTACATGCACTTGATTTTTTTTCACTATACTTCATATATTGTGCAAAAATAATATACATGAATATGAAATATATATAATGTATATGGGTACTGTATATATAAATATATATTTAGCAATATATAAACGCATGTGTATTACTATACAAATACATTACGGAGTTAAAGTATGTGTTTCTCTGCTGTACGTACGCCGTAAGCATCTGTGAACGTAAATGCATGCAAGGGAGCTGTATATACACCCCAAGTGTCAGTAAAGGTAAACATGAAAATGCAAAAACATATTTGCATATGCAAAAGCGCAGAAATTATATATGAGGCTTGCATAGGTACATTTATATGTACATTTATGCATAAATATACGTATAAATATATCCATAAATATTGAAAACAAGTATAAAAAACAAATATAAAAGTAAATAGAGGTGAAGATGAAGGTGTGTCTGTAAGAATCGACGAACGCCACACAAGCCCTGCCTCTCCGCTCGTGAGTGTCGGGGGTATTTCTGGTCCGTTTAAGTCGTAACACAAAACAAAAACAAAGCCATAAACCATTTTTGAATTGTTATTTTTTGTTTTGACACCAAAAGGCACGTATTCTCGCCGAAGTAGCCGTCTGGGTTGCCGCTAGTGTCCCGTGCAGCTCGAGTGTATACACACCTCAAGCACTCCGGGTGTACAGACACTGTAGACGTCTGCGGTGTCTAAACACCTCGTATTGTACATTAATGTACGTATAAATAGCCATATAAATATAGTTTTTAGCGCGGATGTTGCATGCAAGAATGAAAGATTTTCTGTATGTAAATATAATAATAAACATGAGCTGCACGCTTTTTCTGCACAAAGCAGTGTACATACACCTGAAACTCACTTTGCGGGTGGACAGTCGTATATGCATGCATGCACAACTGTTAATTAATTAGTTAATTTAGTTATTTAGAAGTCAAATGGTGGGAAGAAAACAGAATAAAACATACCTATATCCTTTTATGTAACTTGGAAAGTACATATTTTTGAAAAATTGTGTTTCCGGATTTTGTGTGAGCAAAGGAGCACGAGAAACAGACACAATTGGACATTTTCCCGCTGCTACTACTGCTGCTGCTGCTGTTGCTGTGGCTGCTGCACTAATTATAATTGAAGGAACGTGATGGACTAATGTAGATTTGCAGACAAATTTAAAGAGGTAGATTGGGCTGCATTTGTAAATACTTAAGAGTGAATAATAAAACTAAAATAATGATGAAGACAATTACTCCAGGAAAAACTGCAACAACTATAAATGAAATTTAAACTCAGTGAAAATAACTAAAAGGAAATATTCTAAAATGATCAACTGAATTCAATCACAAAAAAGATCCATAAATAAAACGAGAGATGCGAATAAATTAAAATTGCAAATAAGACTATAATCATAATAAATTTATTTCTGCGGAGCCAAAGTCAGGTTTTGTTCCCTCTCTGCGCAGACGGTGCAGCAGCGCAGCATCAAGTGAGCTGCTGCAGCTGCTGCAGCAGCTGCAGCTGCAGCAGCTGCACGCGCGGCTGCCGCAGCAGCAGTAGCAGTAGTTGCAGCAGCAGCAACTCAACACCAGGCACAGCAGCAGCGGGAGCTGCGGCAGCCAATGCAGCTACACGAGACGCCGCAGCAACTGCAGCAGCAGCCGCATCAGCGCCTGCAGCAGCAAGCAGAGCAGCAGGCGCAGCTGCAGCAGCAACTGCAGCACCGCCTTCAGCCGCATCTGCAGCAGCCGCGACAGCAGCTTAAGCGCCGCAACTGCTGCTGCTGCAGCTCAGGCAATGGTGCACATGCATCGGGCGGCGTGGACGTTGCAGCAGCAGCAGCTGCTGCTGCTGCTGCTCAGGCGATGGTGCACATACATCAGGCGGCGTGGGCGTTGCAGCTGCTGCTGCTGCTGCTGCAGCTCAGGCGATGGTGCACATGCATCGGGCGCCGTGGGCGTTGCAGCTGCTGCTGCTGCTGCTGCTGCTGCTGCTGCAGCTGCTGCTGTCCCTGAAGACCAGGAAGACGTGGCAGGCCGTGGGGGCCCCCCTGTGGGGCCCCACAGGGTAGTCCCGCAGCCTGCGGCAGTCCATCATCTCCCGCCCGCAGCAAAACAGCCGCAGCCGCAGCAGCTCTTTGGAGGGCCCCAGGGACTGCCGCCACTGCTGCAGCAGCAGGTCCGCCTTCACCTCCTGCAGAGTCTTCTCCGCCTGCAGCAGCAGCAGCAGCAGCAGCAGCAGTAGCAGCGGAGTTTGCGCTTTTTTAGAGCTCAGCAGCGTTTACGGGGGTTTAGGGGCGCTTCGGAGGGTTTGCGGGGGTTTAAAGGGTTTACGGGGGTTTAAAGGGTTTACGGGGGTTTGAGGGTTTAGGAAGGGTTTAGGAAGGTTTACGGTTTCGGGTTGGTAGGGTTTAGAAGGAGCTGTGAGAGGGTTTGGAGAGAGTTATAGGAGGGTTTAGTAAGGTTTGGTAGGGTTTAGGGTTTAGGGTTTAGGGTTTAGGGTTTAGGTTCAGGGTTAGCGGAGGCAGCAGCGCGTCGCGAGCTCGCTAAAGGGCGGCTTGCCAGATTCCAGGGCTTAGGGCCTAGGGTTTAGGGTTTAGGGTTTAGGGTTTAGGGTTTGGCTTACGTCGTAGGAAACGTCAATGGGGCTTTGGCTGCAGTTGGAGAAGATGAATTTGATGTGAGCCATTTGTTTTTCTTCGGAGGTTTTGACTCTTGCAAACGATTTAAGCTTGGCCACGCAGTCCATCTGCAGGGTTTAGGGTTTAGGGTTTAGGGTTTAGGGTTTGGGGTTTAGGGTTTGGGGTGCAGGATCTGCGAGGTGACCCTGGACCCTTCAGCAGCAGCCGCTGCGCCGTCGCTGCTGCCACCCGGAAGCAGCAGCAGCCACACCATTTGTTTTGGGTTTTAGGGTTTAAAGAAAGCAGCAGCAACTTCAATTTGCAGAATAATCAAACTAAATACAAAAAGTGCTTCAAACGAGGCGCAGCATCCTTCTGCAGCAGCAGCAGCAGCAGCAGCAGCTGCAGCAGCAGACACCCACGCAGTGTCACTGCAGCACCGAGGACGTGACCACTGGACCACACGAGCTGCTCGCATGCAAAGGATTCTCCATCCGCCTCAGGCCTCCAAAATAAAAAGAATAAATAGTGTTTATGCATGCAACACTCTCTATTTCAGAGCTTCTGCTGCGGCGTCTGCTGCGCTGCAGCAGCGGCAGCAGCAGCAGCAGTAGCCCCAGCGGCAGGGTTTCCACGCTGCGCAGCCCGCAATGCATGCGAATCTGCGTCAAAAAAGTATATTTATTTAAAATAGATGCCTTTAGTTTTATTTATTTGCTCAGTTCTTTTAATTTCAGTGAAAATACCCCAAGTACAGGCTGCAGCCGCAGCGGCGCAGCAGCTGCTGCTGCTGGCAGCAGCACCAGCAGCAGCACCAGCACCAGCTACAACGAGCTCGAGTTCTGGTTACAATTACTTTCATTTTTCTTTTATTTTTAAGAAATAACTAAAGAGAAAAGAATTTTTAATTGATAAAGGAAGAGGGAACGCATAAATGGGGAGGGAGCGAAGAGTAACGTAAGCCTTTAGGGTTTAGGGTTTAGGGTTTAGGGTTTAGGTTTTAGCTGCCGCCGCTTTTGTTCAAATAAAAATATTTCAAGATTTGAATTGAATGTGAAAAGGATTTAAAATATAATAAGTCTTTTGTTTTTGTCTCTTGTTTTTTTCTGTTTGTCTCA